AGACACGTTGTTCTTCAAACGGTCAAGAATAAATACCCAGGTATACTGAGAATATAGTGGGTCACAAATTTTTAACCAAAAAAACAAGTTAACGAAAAATTTTTGGTAAAAAATTCTCAAAAAAAAATACTTTATTTAAAAAAATTCTGTCAATGACTGATAGAGCCCGGTGCCCACCCTATTAAAAAACGATCCAATAATATCATCTTTTTGGTCAAATTATCCGGCTGACCAGCTTGACCCTGAAGACCATTACGCCCATGGAAGAAAGCAAAACAATTTTCATTCAACAACCTGAGCAATAATTAAATTCAATTAAATACATATAGAGTAAATTATAGCATTTACCAAAATTTAAAACCATGAATGGCATGAAGAGACTGAACTATGTACCTACTTGTGTTTCATGGGCTCTATTTCATAATAAGCACGAAGCTCTTATTGCATGTAATTTTTGTTATTAATAACAACTAAATGTACGAAAGATTTTTACCAATAATTCTGATTGAAAATCTTTTCCAGTGTTAATTAGTGATTATCCAGAATGTGATGACAGGGCTATTGGTTAGATATATAAGTACCTACATAATTACTAACAACAAAAATTATAGACACATTTACTGTAGACGGCTCAAAGGATTTTTGTCACCTTCCCTCCGCCCTTCACAGGAGATGATCACTAGATCTCAAAATATACACTGATTACGGCTTATTGGAATTTCTGGTTTATTCCTTTCATATTCCGGCTGATTCTCATTTATTCTTGCATATTTTTATCTGTTTCTTTTCCCATTTACTCCAAATTGCACCCACAATTATCAAAATAAAGATTTTTAAAAACTTTTTTATAAGGACTTAATAAAATATGGCCCTTTATTTAAAAAAAAAATAGAATAAAACTTTGTGAAACCAAAGAAAGCTTACAGTATTTGGACCACTTTTGTAAAGTTGTTCAGTGTTCAGCGTTTTTGTTTAATTTATTGTATGTAACAAATTTGTTATAATTTTTTCCTATTTCAATGACCAAAAAGCATTGAATTTATTTTAACTTTCTTTGGCTGCAAAAAGTATTATTTATTAATATTATTATTATCTTTAATAAATGACTGAAATATTCAGTAAACACAAATTTTGAAATACTAACTGATAATAACAGAAAAAGATAAAACCGAAAATCACACATTTTTGAAATCTACCTATAAAATATAATATATTGGTACCACCTTATACCTTTCACCTTTTTTTAACGATTCAATAATTACTCAAATTTATTTAAAAACATATTTGTTTGTCTTAATATTTTTCTTAAAGTGGCTGACTTTTTATACAGGGTGGGCCATTAGTGTGAGAAAGTAAAATAGCTCCCTTGTTACTCATAATACAGAAAAAAAAGTTTATATAAAAGTTATACAGAATCAAGAAACCTAAACCACAGACAAAATAGCTATCGCCAGAGACCGCTACTGGAATAGGCCAGCAGTTTTAAATTTCCGAATTGCCGGTAGAGTACACCACCAGCAGAATTTTAGGAAGAATCAAATGCAGCGGCCCGCATACCTACGCGTATCCTAGCAACATATAAACAAGACTTTGGTAATGTTGCCAGGCGTACTTACGGATTTCTTTTGTACACCATACGTTGAAGT